CTTTCTTCTGTCCTCCCCTGACCTGGCCAAGCTGTGAAAGTGATGGCAGCCATGGTTGGTTCTCATATTTGAAGAAATCTTCCAAGCTTCCATCCCGGATTGGACCAGCTATGTACAGCCTCGAAAACAGAGAACAGTCCTCCTTCAAAACTTCCACTATCGCCTTGTCTTTCGAAACGATCTTCTTGTTCGGAGTGCTCATTGCAGGGAGGGTATTCTTCTTAAGCGGGTATGTAACTGGCTTGCTTCTGTCAATGAATCACTTTTTAATAAACGAATTGAATTGTTCCTCTCCAATCTTTCTTGCATTGTGGACAATTCTGACTACAGCAGCATCTATGATATCCTTAGTATGGATCGCCATCAGGTTTTCACCTTTTTCCAAAAACGGGTTTCCAAGTTCTTCATATGAAGATACTGTATTCAGAACGTCTTTGGAGAATGCATTCTGGACCGCCGGCTTCTGCTCGTGATGGGTCACATTTTCCTCTGTCCAAGAGTTTCCACCTTCAAATTCTTGAACCATTCTGGATATTTCAGGACCTGCCACAGTCCATATACTTAGAGCCGCGGGATTCTTGGTAAGGCCAACTGTGCCTCCTTCTCCTTTAACGACGGCATTAACCTGCTCGTGACAACGATCTAGCGCTATGGACGAGAACAGTTTGGTGGTCTCGTGTACTACAAAAGAGCCATCGATGAAATATTTGTACACACTTGGATGAGTGTATTGAGGGACACACATGTCTGCGTAGTGCACAGGAAGCCACTTGGCGTAGTTAGAATGGTCCATCACAAACATCCATGGCAGTATCTGTCACAAGGCGTCGATGTACAAAGAAAAGTTACCTTCTCGGAGAGCTCTCACCAGCCGAAGGCAGATCAACTCCAGATTGAGCACTTTTGACCAGTAATGAAACTGCGGGGACTTTTTTGACAGTGCATCTTTCCATTCTTCTTTCGACAACAGGTTTTCTTGCTCATTTTCTCTCAATTTGGCTTGATATACACTGTAGGCTTTACTCATCAGAACATGTAGACTTGTAGCCGTCACCTGGTGTGCGCGTCGTGTACGGGTTACATGGCTTGCTGACAGAAATGACTCTGCTACCCCTTGTGTTGCTACTCCTGTGTTACACATGACCTCTGCCCACCCGCTGCCACTCAGCCACTGACCAACCATTTTGAGGGATGCCATCTCTATGTGCAGTCCCCCAAGCATAATGACGAATTGTGCTTCACTTAACTCGGGAAGTGGCCACTTAATTTGCTTTGCTAAGGCAAACAGTGGCTGATCTAATGCGATGACTGGAGTCTGTGAGGGGTTGACGTGGTGCACAGCAGCCTTGATCATACACATATTGTGCGCTATCATATATGGCTTATCACAACCTTTAGGTGAAATCTAAAACAGCATTAATATGTCTAGGCAAATTGTTGCTAGCTTCACAACAACTCTTACTTCAGTCTAGCAAGTTTAGCTTTCCGCAAACTTTACACTGAAGGTAAATCTGACTCTTCAGCTTTAGGATACCTTTAAGAGAGCTTTACGTCCGATTATGTAAATCTACCTTTAAACGTCTTTACGAACATAATAAAACTAGTGTAAAGTTACTTAACGAACTTTACGCAAATTTACGCAACTTTGATTTTGCGTAAATCTCCTTTTTCATGCTGTGTTTGTTAAAAGGTCTGGCCCTATTATAAAAGGCAACCAAGCACTTTGCATGGTACTTTGCCTCAATGGCAATTAAATCACCAACAGACAGTTTAGCAATAAGTTTTCTCTCATTCAGAACAGCGGCACACTCTCTGACCCTTTTGTCAACATCTAGGGTCAATGCAGAATGAAGATGCCAGGACTATCGTATTCGTCACAGAAAAAACATTGCCTCAGGGGATTATAACGTTCTACACTAGATCTCCTAGCTTTCACAGGGCCAGAGGGAATTTATTCTTCTGTTTCATCTATTATTTCCTCTTCTGCAGCTTCAGCTAATTTTCGTTTCTTTGCACGCCTTTGGTTGGTATTATTATACAGATCTCTACACGATTTGTACCAGGAGGCTTTGTTGTGGAGTAGCGTTTGTTCGAATGCATCGTTTTCATCTAGCGGCAACTCACAGCTGATGACATAAATCCCTAGCTTCTTGAATGCCTGGGTATTTTACACTAACATCTTGTTGTTGTTTTGGGTTGAATAATCTATTTCTTATTAATAAAGGCAAAAAATAACATTTTACGTGAAATACCGGCTCTATACCAATTGAGCTAACGTCCCGGTTAGCTGAATTGGTATAGCGCCGGACTGTGGTGCGGGAGGTCGAGAGTTCAAATCCGGCTGGACCAACACTCAGGGTCTTTAAATAACTGAGTAGAAATTGCTGCCTTTGTTATAATTTCTACAAACGGTTAGACTTTCTAGTCTTCTCGGATAGGGACGATAAATGGAAGTCCGGTCTCATAACCCCTTATATGTGATTTAAATTTGTGGGACGTCAAAGAACCCACACGCTCCTTGAAAAGAGTAGGGCACGCAGTGCCCGGTGTTGTGGTCTATCTTTGTGCAGTGTCTATCCAGGGTGAATCGGGGGAGGGATGGTGCCTCGCATGGACCTTGTGTTCCGTTCGCACTTACCCTTCCGGGTCTAGTCACACCCGGTAAAGTTGTTAACAACAACAACGACAAGAAATCATAAATGTTTCTCACCTGAAATCACTGTAAGTGATGGTGGCTGCCATCTTAAAAACCGTGCGAGTCCTTGGCTCTAGTGCCGAGGCAAAACCTTCCAGCCCCTAAGTGGGATTCCAGTGGCATGCTACTTTGTGCTGGGAGAATTTTTTTTAATTTTTTGACAACACCCCATTGTGTTCTTCCCTAAAACACTGGAAACATATATATTCTAGCGTTTCACCACAGGGCACCCAAATACTATGACAAATATAAAGGAAGGTAGTCACGTGACAGCATTAAATAAATATCAAAATTTATTCAACGACTTAGTGGTTCATGTTTGGAAGCTTTTGTGACATATTGCTCCAAACAATATCGTTTAAATATCATTGTCGTCCTCAGCCTCGTTTCCATGTTGGCTAATTTTTGACATGCGTAGTTCTCATTTCCAGACGTTTATTTGGGATGGCCCTATATCACAAAATGTTAGTCTTAGGGTCATTAGCAATGTGTCCAAGTTTCATGCTTTTATCATCAAATTGAACAATTCAGTGTTTTTTTGTTCGATAACAGCTGGACTAGGAGTCTCTTGATCACCATCATGCTCTCCTGTAGCCCTAAATTCCTCCATGCCACACTCATGGCACTCAGCAAACAAAGAGCTGCTGATACCAAATCTCTCAGTGCTTCTCTCTATGAGCTTAACATTGCCTAAAATAAAATAACTATATGTAAGACACTATAGCATAGCCACAGACAAACATAATGTGCTCGCAAATAAAGAAAAATTAAAAATATCATATAACACACCTGAAGCACATGGTCCACGCGAGTGAATCCCACGAACAAACTTCAACAAACTGTCCACAGAAACAAGCTGATAGCCTCTTTACTTTTTCCTCAAATTCATAACTCTCGGAATCAGATGATTCTTGTTCTTGGGCACCTAGTTTCCGCGAAGAAGCTGGAGTTTTGGGCGGAGGAATTCTTTCACTTACAACATCCTCTTCGCCAACAAATGCGACAGCAACAGTTGCAGTCTGATCACGCGTTTTTGCCTTCAAAACAGTTTGTTTTTGAACTCCCCTGAAGCCTTTTTTCTTCCTTTACTTATTCTTGTGAATAGTAGACTGTTTTGAACCATATTTAGGCACTATAACAATGATATTTTGGGTGTATACGAAATATAAACAATGGCGACGCAAAGCGATTTTATGAATAAGCACGAGTTGACTCTTTGAACTGAGTAGCCTTTATACACACACTTTATTTTTATACACACTTTATTTTTCTTTTTCTTACAAAATGATTTAGATTATGTTGACCCGCAGATAGCAAATTTGCTATTCGAGGCGGGTCAATCATCAACAAACATTATTTACAATATATAAAGAAAATTAAAAACTAAATAATTAGATATTGTTAAATTATAAAAAGAAGCATAGCTGGCAAATACATCAATAGTTGTTCAATAAAGTATAGAAGCAAATACATTAATACTTCAATTTCATTCCTTAACTGCTGATTTTCTTTTTTTAGTTGGTTTCCTTTACCAGCCATAATTAGGGAAACTTAATAGAATAAAATCACACAGAGCGAGAAATATGCGTCCGCTCAGCTCAGCGTCCGCTCAAAATATTAAAATGAATAAAAATTGCAAATTATCGAATTGCTTTTGTGCCTACTATGCCTTCCTTCTAGGAAGGCCGTAGGCACTATGTTCTGGTGTCTTGTAGGTCC